CCTCTATCCCCACTGCCAGCACACTAGCCCTTCTTAGTCCATACTTGTAAGTTCTTGGAAGAGATTAATTCTCAAGAAAAGGTTTTTCTTATCAGAATTTTTCTTTATCAATATCAAGAAGGAAACCAGCAAAGATACCAAGAAGGCAGCCTGCCCTGAAAACTGACGCCTTCCATACTATTTTCACATGTCTGTAGAAGTTGTTATGGTTAGCTCTCCTCATGCTCTGCTAACACAAGAAGGAGTGAATGTGTCTGGCACAGGCACCAGTGACACACTTTTGCAACATGGTGTACCAGGGGTAATTAAAACCCAGCGCCTCTGAGGTGAGCAGCAGTCAGGCCGTGCTCATGCCACTCACACTGAATCTCTGTCCACTGAAACACATATTGGCCTCAGGTGAAAAACAGTGCAGGCATCAACAAGGTGAATTTCTCCTGCTGCCTACTATCTGTTCTTGCTATGGCATTGAAGGGTTTTCTAAGTGGGGCTAACATGCAGGTGAATCATTGCAATGTGCTGCAGCAGGTCTGGCTCTGTCCCTCTTGCACTCACCATCCACAGGTGCAGCAGATGGAACAGGAGCCATGCCAGGGAGCTGAGAACCTTTGCCATCCACTGAGATAGCCTGGCCATGCTGTTGATAGGAGCAGCCCTTGTACCACCAGGACTGAGCTCCTTTGCTTGTCTGATAGTATTAACATTCATTTGCTCTCTGAAACAGACTTGGTTTATTTTTTCTTTAGGTCATTCTGTGTAACATAATCATATTGGGGTAGAATTCTTCTGCCTAATCAAATGAAACTTCATGTAGTTAGCTTGTCCTTAGCATTTACTAATGAATGTGATTGTGAGGATTTAGTTTCTCACATGGTTAATAGGAAGGCATTTAGATAATTATAGCTGTCTAGTGTCTTTCCACTGCTAATCGCTTTTACTGCCTGGTTCATTTCCAGACCAGCAAGTGAAACTCTGGCACAAAATTGTGCAGGGAAACTGCCCCTGTGGTTATATATTGGTGTATTCGTGGTATGATGGTTTGTAGGTGTGAAGTCAGTTCCCAGCTCCAACCTAAATTTCTTATGAATTTCAGAAAATTACAGCCGTGCTGTGATTCAGCTTTCCCACTTGTCTACACCATGCTAGGTCACACAGTCCAGTATTCCCTCCCTAACACTGGCCAGCTGAAGACACTTAGAGAAGAAAAATATAAGCAGACAAATATGTAATGGTCCCACTCCTGGACTGTGCATCCAGCTTCCAGAGCTTTGGGAGCTTTCCATGTGCCTTTGTTGAGAAGCTGCAGTGAATTTCCTGAATCCCTTGCTGGACTTCACCAGATCTTTAATCTCCACGACATCCTGTGACAATGATGCTGAACAGAAAACTGCACCAAAAATCCCTGGTGTTTGTTTTAAAACTACTAGGTGGTATTTCAATTGAGAAAAATCAATACTTCTGTTCGGAGAAACAGGGAATGAGATTTTGTTCTTCATCTTTTTAGGGCACCTGTGATGTGACTGAGCTGTCACCCCCCCTGCTGTCTCCTTTCCAAGCTTCAGCTAGTCCTGCTTCTATCCTGTTTTTTTTTTTTTTTTTTTTTTTGTCATATGAGAACATTTCCATACCTGGTTACCTTTTACAGAACCTTTTTTTTTTTCTGACTATCTTTTTAATACAGAGTGCAAACTGTAGTTAAGAAGGATTTATAGAAAGGTTAAGTGATGTTTTCTGCTTTTTCTCTTTAGTCCTATTAATTCTGGTAATTCTGGTAATTGTGGGTGTTTTGCCCAAATGGAGCCCTGATCTCAAGTATCCATCACGGCTCTGAAATTTGTTTCCTAGTAAAACCAGTTCATTTAAAGTCTGTGGCATATATAGATTTTCCCCCTCAGGTGTTGCATTTGTTCATGTGGAATTTAATGCAAAATCTAACTTCTTATTGCTGTGCTACATCACATTATTAAATATTTCTGTACTTTTAAACTATAGTTTAATATTTTATGACTAATTCTTCATCATCTGCAGCCTTTGCTACTTTCCCCTTCACTCTGTTTACTTAGATCATGTCATGAAAGACTTGGCATTATTTTCTTTTAAGACAAAATCTGGGGGAGGAAACATGCCTGTTACACAAGCTAGTGAAGTATGTTACAATTATGATTATGGTAATGATAATTTTCATAACCTTTTTTGTCATTACTCTGTCCTTTGATAGTTATCTTGTTGCTAACAAACAATTCAGTAGCTGTTTGGAACAGTACTATCTTCTTTGGAGCTAAATGGGTCAAGGGGTTTCTGCCAGCAGGAGAGACTTCGGTGCTGGTAAGATGAAGAGAACCAAGAGGAAGCAATTTTTGTCTAATATTAAATTAAAATTATGAGCTGTGACTACTGATCTGAGAGAGATGAGGGACCCTCAGAAACTCTAGCATCTCTCTCAGCAGCCGCTCCTCAGTTTGCTATGACGGTATTTAATTTCAATTAACAAATTTTAGTTTAGTTTGGTTTATGATTACTTCCCCCTCGTCCTTTCCTGTTTACTCCCCCCAGGGTTTTAGTGTGACAGCCCTCTCCGTCGCGCTCCTTTCGAGGTAGTGGAGCAGGGGAAAAGAGGAAGGGGAGAAGGGAAGGAGAAGGGAAAGGCGCCTCTGTCCCGCGGCCGCAGCCGGCGGGAGGAGCTCGCAGCGCCGCTCTCGCCGCCTGTCCTGCCGCTCGCCCTTTCCTTGCGCAGCTCCGGGCAGGGCTGAGGGCGGTGCTGGGCTTCCCTCTAGCGGTGCCCGAGCCTGCAGAAGGATGCACTGTCCACTCCAAGGGGCCCTCGCTGCTTGGCAGGAGTGGCTGGGTTCGGAGCCCGCCAAGCTCGCCTTTCCAGAGGTACCCGATCCATGGGGATGGTGATATGTCTCCAGGAGAGCAGCTCTGGCTTTACAGCAAAACCAGTGCAGCCGTGCTTCCTCCGTTAAGCTCCCAAGGGATGTCTTTACGAAGGACTCTTTTTCTATCCTTGACCATGTGGAGTCAGTGTTCTTATTGCATTCTTATTCAACAACGGCACTGTTTGGTGCAGTCCAAGTCTGGTGGCATTTGGCACAGCATTCATGGCACAGTTAAAAATTCTCGTTTCCAGGAATCTGTATCTGGATGAGTTAGGATGCTAAAGCATCAAGCTTATTACTGGTCATCTGATGCCTCTTTGGGGAAGTCCATGTCAGGCTGTATGACTCTCTCACTGATTTGCCGCTATTTGATATTTCAAGCAACAGGCAGAAATTGGTAAAAATAACAGTAGAATTGTTGAAAACACCTATACTATAGGTCTTCAGAAAACAAAGCATTAAACATATAAGAACTGAAGTAAAAAGCCTCGTATGGATAAGGAGCTCTTCACAAATAGTGACCAAAGATATTCATAGTTTATCACAGAATATTCTGAGTTGGAAGTGACCCACAAGGATCATTGAGTCCAACTCATAAACTCTAGCTACTGCATAAACATATAGTAATCTCCTTCTCCACAGCTACTCACAGGGCCTTCAAGTTTTCTCAAGATATCCTGGGGAGTGAGTGAATTGCATAAATCCTTAATGGCAACAGCTCAGAGCAATATGGAGCATGCTGGCTTGAGCCCAAAGGTGGGGTGTCCTGCCTGCAGGACGTCATGCCCAAGGATGGGGTACCCTGTGCCCACCTTCCTGAGAGGTTTGGAGTTACTCTGAGCAAACATCGTGCCTGCTCCTCACTGCCTATTGACTGTGAATGCTAAAAAGCTTGATGCAGGTATTTTTAACCTGTCCTGTGCACAAGTAACCAAACCAAACACTTGGGAGGAGCAAGGTGCAGGACCTGCTGTCCTGAGCCTCCAGGCCTGTCTGCATTGCATCATTACCTTGTGCCCTTGCATCACTGTGTTTCAGAGTAAACTTCTCTCCCCTTGCTCAGTCTGACTGCACAATCTCTTCTGAGAAAGGCAAGACTGTTGAGGTAATGCCACCTGTTGTTGACACACATTTGGTCATCTTGGCACCTGCATGCTGTCAGTATCTCCAGTACTGCCATTGGCCTCGCTTCTTCCATATATTTTCCTGCTAAACTGTTCTCTTCCTCCATCTCAGTGCCTTCAGCAGCAGCTGCTAGAAGATATTACAGGGCTGCCCTCTTCTCATCCTAAATTAGCTTTATAACGAGAAAAGGAAACATTGTTTTTTCTTTGACATCTGGTAGGGGAAGCAGGTGATTCTTCCGATTATTGCCCTTAAAATGAATAAGCTATTAAGGGTACTTTAAAATGTTATTAGTGTGTAGAAGTAGTAATGTTAATAGTTAATTCATGCTCAATAATATTATATCTTTTAAATATTATTATTACTATATTGTCTTGTCGGAACAGCTTTAAAGGTTCTTCACGGGCATTTAGTTAAAGCAAAGCACCGCAGAGCAATGATTGTGGGTGTGCATCCAGCTCTGGGTGGATGCAATCACGGGGCTTGGACAGGACTCAAGACACTGCAGTTCAAAGCTGTGACAATGAGAGATGCCCCTCAACGATTGTCTGACCCTGGCCTGAAGTCCGTGAATGCCACACTGCCGTGTGGTGAAGGATTTCAGCTGCTGAGTGTCCAGTGTTTCATCCCCCATGAAGACCCATGGTTCTGGGGATCCTTAGCCCATTATACTACAGAGCCTGGCTGGAATGGTGCTTTCCTCAGAAACAACCTCTGCTCATTTTTTCAGCAGGTCGGTGGTTATTGCACTGAGGACCTGGGTTGCATCCCTTCCTCCCAGTGAGTCTTGGAAGAACCTAGGCCAGTGACCTGCTCATCACACACCTTTGGCAAGGTGCTGCTCCATGTAAACTCTTCAAAATTTCTCTTGTTGCAGAAAAAGGAGCAACTGGGGAAAGATTTCTGCAGAAGAAGTGGTGTCAGCTCCAGTCCCTGGACACAGCTACTCAGTGGCTATCTCATGGGAAAGATAAGCTTTCATTGGAGCATGGTCTGAAGCCCTGGATGTCCTCCTCTCCGGGTGAGCATTCCCATCCCTCCACCATCTTTTGCAATCTCCTGAAGATGTTGATTGTTTGCAAGAGTTCAAAAGTGAATGGATGTAAAGGCCAATCTATTAAATCTGTTAAATAAAATGACACCACTCAGAAATTGCCTGAACCAAAGAGGACTGTTGACAGAATATTTAGAGACAGTATCACTTTATGCTTTCCTGTTCCTACATTTTTCTCTAGGCACTTGCTTTTGACCATTATAGGAGACAAAATGTGAGATTAGATTCAGCAAGTAAGCAGGATATTTTTATAAAAATATGAAATATGAAATATGAAATATGAAATGCATGTATATTTACAAAGCTACACAGGCCTTTCTGTACTGCCTTCCAGGTAGCATTTTAAAAAATCCCAAGTTTTTCTGTGAATGAACCTTGGGTGGTGATTCTAGCTGTATGAGAAAGCTTAAAATTATCCATTAATAAAGTAATGAAAATGAGGATAACATTAAGGTTGCAAAGTGAAGTACTTAGACGGAAGAAAATGCCAAAATAAATGGACTTGTAATCTTAGGATTGTAATTTTTTTTAAATTCCCAGTCTGATACCCTACTGTGTTTACTAGGAGAGAGATAGACTTGCTTTACACAGTAATACTCTAACATAGGCTCCCTCCTTGGTTTAAATCACAGTGTGGAAAGTGACTAGTGTTGAATAAGAGCACAGAGTGGAGGAGAGAGCAGCCTGCAAAGTCCTACCTGCTCCTCCCACCTGCAGAAGCTCGTGGGCAGAGAGAGGAGCTGCTGGTGAACGCTGATGATGATCACCTAGCACCTCTGAGAGCATACCAATGAGATGTTGGATGTCTTCACTGAAATCACATTTTTCAACAGAGGGTTTAGATGGCTGCTCATTCTGAATGCTGACTGAGGTCACCTGCTGCTTCTCTGTATAAATGTTTGTCCCACTCATCTCTGGTCAGCTAAAGCTGTGCATGTCTGACAGTTCCACTTATTACTAGTGAAATTTCTATGTCAGGGTCTAGTTCTAAATTTCTTTTACACTGGAAGCAGGATTAGCTCATAGTATACCTAAGTACATATTTCAAAGAATGTATCTTTCTGCTTAAGGCAGTGTCCATGCAGGCATTTATAGTTAGGTACTTCACTGTAAGAATAATAAGAGAGCAAGTGTTTTGATGACAACAGCACTGATAACCAGAAAGTTATCTAATGCTTTATATGCTAGTACATATAAAGGGTGAAAATTGGATGTTTTGGTATAACAATTTTTCCACTGTGATCATATACGCATATACAGAAAGCTTTCATGGCAACCTGATAAACATGAGCAGACAGCAACTGACACAAAGATGGTCTGTCCTCTAACAAATGAGCACTATTTGTGGTGTGTAATACTGCAACGATGAGCAGTGATGTGTAATCCCTTTGCCCTGGACCTCCCCAGCCTGCTGGACAGATGTTCTGGCAGATTTTGGCACTTGAAAGTGAACTCTGCTCTTCCTTAACCCCCAAATTTTCATGAGCCACAATGGTTTTTTTCTTCCTGTCATCTCTCATAATTTTTTCAGTTCTTTGTTTGACTCTGGTAACACTTCCCCTTACCTTAGTGGTTGCTTTTCTGCCTCAAATGTAACTTTTTTTTTAAATTGATCACATTTGTCAGCATTTCCCATCTCCGTCTCTTCTGCTCAGGTAGTATTTCCTCACTAGTGGCACTGTTATTCTTTGGGGTTACATTAGGGATTAGGGTGTTTAGGTGTGTTAGGAATGCCAAATGTCACTATGCATGTACAGAATTCTTGGCCACAGTAAAACTGAGTTTCCCTAGTGTGATGGGAAACTGATGATGCAGAAAAAGCGTGGAGACTGAGAGTGAGTTTGTCATGCTTGAGCTGCCAAAGTCTTTCAAAGGCCACAGAGAGACCAAAAAAGCCGTCCAAAATGTCTCATTTAGGCTATGGTGAAAGTTATTGTCACATGAAAGACGCTTTTTTCCCCAAAAAAACTCCAAACAACAAAACCTTCACTGTTTTCATAATTTATTACAGGATGACTGAGAGCTAAAGAAAAGACTGTATTTTTCTAACAGGTTTTCATAGTTGTGCCTTGCCTGAGAACATCAATCTGTGGAAAAATACACCTGCAGCTCAGCCTGAAGACTGCCTCCCAACAGTTAATGAAGATATCACTTTCCTCTGGGATCAAGTTAAAATGTAATTAAGGTTATGTCACTTTAGAGGAGTTCACTGGTGACATGGTGGGTAAATGGAGACAAGGCTGTGGAGATTAAATGTGCTGGAAATTAGCATGAGGTATTATGTACTCACATCAGTCTTTAGGGTGTCCCAGCAGTTTGTCATGGGAGGGTCTCTTGAATGAGGTGATGCTTTGACTGTGATACACAATGTGAAAATGTGTGATGAGCAGGAGGGCAGGTGTGATGGGGAATTTTCTAGAGTATTTGGTCTAAACTTAATATAAACAGATTATTTGGGGCAGGGGGAAGTATGACTAAATAACTATTGACATCCTTTATCTGTATGGAAGCATGAGAGAACTTCTCCTTGAAGTGAGAAGAGAAATTTCTAAAGTAACAGCTTCTAAAGTATAATCTGCTCAATTTTGTTACTTCCCAGCATGACTAGAGGTTACAGTAGAGACTGCATCAAAGAGAGTAGTCTTTTACTCTTCATTTTTATATATTGTCCATTTTTATAAATAGAATTGGAAACTGTCATTTAGCAGCAAATTTAAAATAAAAAGAACATAACTTTCACAAAGTCCTCAAAGAAAACAAAAAATCCTATAGGTGTTGACACATCCTATCATCAGGTCAAGAAGGCAAGTACCAGAAAAACGATTGTTATCAGGTGTGAATTAACATACAGTGAGTTTGCTCACAACTGACGAAGGTGACAGATATAACATATGCATTAATAAAAGTCCAAATGGAAGGTATGGCCATAATTAGAAATGGTACTTGAAGAAATGCTATTGATTCCAGGAACTGAATTTAATTTGATGGCTTTTACTGTAATTAACACAATTGTTTGTATCAGCATAGATCTCTTAATACTATTATCTAAACTGACAAATTATAAAATTAAATGTTCATTTAAGATGCAATTCAAAAATTTTAAAGGTTTTCTCGGGTCAACGGATCTCAGTTAATTTCTTTAAAGCTAAAGGAGCTGATTTTTTTTTTATTCTGCCAGTTTTCAACGATTGAAGCTACTCCTGTTTTATATCAGTGCTGCAATGAAAGCAACGTATACAAAGGAAACATTCACAGGTTCTGAGGAGTTCTTGACAGCCTCTATTGCGTGTACTTTGCAGGCTTGAAAGGTATTTTCTTTGTAGCATTAGATTTTAATGGTACTGAATGTAACGCACACATATAATAACAATAATTCACTTTTCTTCTGTTTGCCCATTTACCTTGTCATGTATCTGCTAGATGCAGGGTCTGGTTTTCTTCTCTTTTACACCTGTTTTACCCAAGGGCTGTTTATTTTGATGCAGTTACTCCTGATTTAGACCTGTGTATATGAATCTGTTATCTGCGAGAGGTAAATTAATGCTTTTAATCAAGACCACTCTTCTGCCTACCCATCAACATCAAAGCCTAGACATGCTATTAGTTATTGAGAAAGGAAACAGAGTGTGAGTAAGCAGCCCTCAGCTATCTCTGGATCCCCATTACCAGAATTTTAGCACCATTACCTCAAAACCATGAATACTTTTATCCTCACAGTCACTTGGAAAGGCTATATATCCTTATTTTACAGACCAAAGCCACAAAAGGAAGCAGAATTTGGACAGAAATAAGGTGCCTAAATCCCAATGTAACTCTTAAGACCATTTTGAGCAGCTGCTACCCAAAGTCTCCCTATTTGAAGGTGGCTCTGTTGTGGATCCCATTTTTTTTTGACCATGCCTTGAAGGACCCTGATCTTCTCAGGTCATAGCATCTCCCTGTTTTAAGCTCTGCTCTGTCAGAAAGGACCTCTGGCCTCAGCAGGACTCTCTGCACAGGATGGTGAATCTGCCACCATGTACTTAGAATCTGCTGAAATTCTTAAGACAGATTTCACATTTAAACCACTGGAGTTCCCTTTTTTAAATTTCTCTTTAGCCAGATGCAGAAACCTCTGGCAGCCTTATCACTGGTCTTATATTTCGTAATTGAATGAATGAATCAGTCATGCAGGATGTAGGTGAGAGAGGAGGATTTGGGAGGATTCAGATCTGTCTGCTTTCAGTTAACTGCCCATGCCAAGAGCTAAAAAGTAGGACTTCCCAATTTACTAAGATACACTAATTTCACTGAGGCCTGGTGAAGACGCAGTGCATCACCTCTGTTTCCTCATGCCATCCACTTTGCTGGAACCAGGCCACTTTGCTGAGTGTTTCCTCAGAGATGGGTAAGAATTGTTCATGCTAAATTCCTTGTAGTCTGGGTAAAATATTCCTGTAGGCAGCCAAGCTATAGGGTACTGTACAGAACAAATGTTGAATGAAGTCGTATGAGCCACTTTGGGAGCAGGGACTGGAACAGGTGGTTAGATTTTCCCCTGGTTGTCTTAGACACCAAGCAACAAAATTGATCACTCTCTTCTCTCTTTTCTGTGAGTATTTTAATAATTCAAGAACAGTGACCTCATCCCTATGGAAGGTTGGAGAGTGCCCCAATACAACTAATTCTCATCAGATGGTGAAGGACGGCGAGAAAGAGGATAGGTCCTTGGACAGAAAAAAGCATTTGGTCTGGTTTTCTGTGTCTTGGGTACATGTGATGAACTGTTGTATGAGGCTGTAAAACATAGTGTAATGCATTACAGAAGCTTATAATCGCTTTTTTGTTGTTCCAAACACATGGCTAACAAGGCTACCTTAGGAATAGGGTGTAGGTCTCTAAATCACAAGTGAGCAATGACACTTATGTGCAATGCTATACCAGAATGCCTAAGTCCTACAGAAGGTTGGAGGTTACCATGTAGCAGACATATTCATGAACAATATTTATTGGCCTCCTGAGGTGTTTCTCTGCTCCCTGTGACAGCAGCTGTGAACCCAGTGCCAATGGTCCTGGGCTCTGCAGGTGATTCTGGGCGCTCAGGTGATGGCTGTGGCACCTGCCAGGGGAACCTGGCACCTGTGAGCTGGGTGCTGCAGCGAGCAGCCAGCACAGCGGTGGCACCAGTAGCTCCCATGTGTGCCAGGATTAATTAAGAAGCACACAAGGTGTTTCAGGACTGCCAGACATAGGTTGTGTATTTATCTAGTGGGATGGTGGGCCCACTGCTCTCCAGTGCTCTGGTCAAATCCTCATCACTGGAGGGGAAATAGCCAGGGCGGTGGGACCTGCACGGCCGGCCTTGGTGGGGAGGTGAGAGGAAGTCGGGGAAGGGTGGTGGGGCAGGGCGGGGAGGGACCGGGGTGGTAAGGCCCACGCCCATGCCCATGGTGGATCGGGGCCCATGCCCGTGCCCGTGCCCACGTTGATGCCCATGCCCCTTTTGATACTAATGCCCACGTTGGTGCCCATGCCCATGCTGATGCTAATGCACACGTTGATGCCCGTGCCCACGTTGATGCCCGTGCCCACGTTGATGCCCATGCCCACGTTGATGCCCGTGCCCAATTTTATGCCCATGCCCATGCCCATGCTGGGATCGGGGCCCATGCCCGTTCCCGTGTCCATGCCCACATTGATGCCCATGCCCACGTTGATGCCCGTGCCCACGTTGATGCCCGTGCCGGGTCCGGGTCCGGGGCGCTGGCGCAGCCCGCAGCTCCCCGCGGAGCTGTCCCGCCCCGCGGTGCTGAAACAGCCGCAAGCTCCACAGCGCCGGCTCATCCCGGGCCGGCCCCGCCCTGCTCAGCAGGGACCAGCAAGTACTCGGGACGTGATGAACAAGGGCCAAATAATTTTTTTTTAAATACACCATCACACGTGTAGAGCGCAGTTCCTCTTTATTTGCCGGCTGATTACATCTGTAATTGCTTTGCAATTTATCTGTGAAGGATTCTGTTCCACATTGAAGATAACATTAGGAATCGTTGTGAAAAATTCTAACCAGTTAAACCCAAAACTTTGAATTTGCATCCAGCTCTGGGACAACTATACATGCTGGGCTGCTGCCCTGAACAGAATTCCTTATCAATGGCAACAGTAGAAAAGAAAATATGGGAGCAAATTGATAAGCAATTCAGCTGTAGGATTATTTTAAGAAGATAGCAAGAAAAGTGCATGTTTTTCAAAACAAACATCGTGGTCCAGTACTGTTGTAATGTGAATTAATGAAAAATTAGCAGTAGTTTAAGAGAAAGCTGAAAGAGAAATAATTCTCTAAGCGTAAAAGCTAAACCCCAGCTTTACTTCTGCACATGTGATTTTTCAGAGAAGTGATGAATAAAATTATAATCCATAATAAAAAAGAGAATAACAAGTTTCTATTAATGCCTATAAACATATCTTCCTTAATCAGGAAGATATGACTAATAAAAGCATTCAGAAAGTAGTTAAGAGACATGTTTTTTTTTAAACCAAGTGGCTAAGAAATATAATGCTACTGTACCTCAGTAATTGTTAAAGGAAGGACCCATTATCATAATTATGTTTCTGGAACAAACATTATTTCAATGTGATAAAGGATGACATGACACTAAAGGTAAAGCCACAGCAGATGTTACATGAGTAACAAGACAATATGCCCGCATTCTGGTAATTTCTCCCCCCCAGACATGTTCTCATTAATCTGTGATTAATAGGATTTGAGTATAGTAAATGATGTTGATCTATTGTCTGTCTTTGTCCCACACCATAGAGAGAGCAATTTGTCAGCTCAGCTTTTGTGTGACTATTTAATAGCAAAGAGGGGGAGAGAAAAGATGCTAATCTTCTAATTGGCATCTATAGAGAAAGGTCTAAGAACACTGCCTGCCTGGAAATCACTTGTGTGCAATTCCTATGCCTGCGAGGCTGAGGCAGACAGACAGCCACAGCAGCCCGGGTACCCATGGAAAAGGAACAGTGTGTCCCCATCACACAATGAGCTGCTGGCCAAAGGGAGCGTGGAGAGCAAGGTGCGCTGCAGAACAAGGTGCAATTGCTAACTCTTCCAAGTCTGTTATGTTGCAGGCTGTTATGTCAAGGGAGTACTTCTTGACTGGTGTGACTTTAATAAAGACAGAAAGCTGCCTCCTTCCCAGAGCAAAAAGCAGAATGAGGCAGGGGAAAAACGGGGCAGTGCTGAAGGCCAGAATAGTCCTCTCACCAGCAAAATTGGAGTCAAAGGACAGAACATGAAGTGCCCAAACATCTTTCCCGAGATGTCACGCTTTGTGCTAGCATAGTGCCACTTCTAACCTAGCTGTTCTCCTCAGGTACTAAGGTTACCTAATGAAATTACTGTCTTCAAATACAAATAATTTCACAATTAAGTCACTGCTTCCAATTCAGCAAAACATGGAAGCTACTGCTTAAAAGTAGGCATAAAGACAAGTGCTCTGTCTTTCCCCATCCTCAAGTATCTATTTTATGCCCTTCAAAAGGTCAGAATGAAGACTTGGGTTTTGGGTGCAGTTGAGGACTGGATCCCTCTGACATCTACATTGCAGTCAAATGCAGCTTTATTTTGTGTAATGATTTCTTAGTGGTGAACATAGAAAAAGAGTTCCTTGTTCAGTTTAACCACCTGAGCCATTCTGATAGTACGACATTTAAGATAATGCAGTAACTTTCTAAAAATAGTATTTTTTGAGATCTATGTCTTTTTTTTTTCCACAGGAGCAATTTAATGCACATTACTTTTAGTGGTTTTGTCACTCCAGTGGGTGATTCCAATGAATTGCATCATGAAGGGTAAGACTACCTTAAATCAGCTTCATCACTTGGAAAATATTCTGTGGACCTGCACATAACATCGTTTCTACCTGTGTAACTCTTCAATGAATATGGCATAAAAATAGCATAGCATATAGCATGACGCTTTTGTAAATTTTAATGCATATCATCAGGATTTAATGGAAACTGGTGAAGGATAAAGATTGGATAAAGAAATATTTTGCTAAAGGAAAAATAAAACCACAGTTAGAATTGAATCTGATTTAAAATGGAGAAGAGTGGAGAGAAAGCAGTTGACAATACTGAGGTTAAAAAAAAGGCACTCAAAACTGTTTAAGTTAACAATATTTACTGCTACATTTCACAAACAATCACATCTCTATTCAAAGCCATCAGAACCCACTGCTCAGGTGTATGAACAGCACTTTGGCAGACATAGTGTTGGCTGGCCTCTGCAGTGAAAACTGCTGAGATTTGGAGATCAGATGTGAGTCTGGGCAGGGACAAAGCAAGTGGGGCAATTTGTACCATCTTGTATAATAATTTGCAAACCCAGAGCATTTCCCTGCTGTTTGGTGGTGTTACATGACATGCTGAGCACAATTATCACCAAGCACAGAGTGTAGCCCTTTTTCTGCCTTTGGGGGTGAGCACTGACATTTGTCCCCATTTCAGGTACAGCAGAGAGCATGCATGCTTTCTGTGGAAACACCCAAAACTTTCTCAGTGGAAAGAACTCCCTCAGTGGAGATGCTGGGGCTGTCCTGGATCTATTAATCTCACACTGGGGAGTACAGTGGCAAATCTGCCTGACCCAGGGCCATGTGAATGAGCTGAAGGGCAGCAGTACAGCCATGCCAGCATGAATCTATGTTCTAACTTGTGCTCTTTCAGGGAGAGGAAAATGTCCATTTTGCTTCTGAACGAGAACACAGTGCCAGCCTGTCATGCAATAGAGATATAAGGGCTGAAGCCTGGGATCTCTCTGCCCTTGTGCTCTGGTCTGGGTGAACCCTGATGGGACACTTGCTCTTTTTAACTGCTTTGATCAAGCAAGAAGAGATTTCATCATTCAAACCTGGAAGGTCTTGGGGCTTGCCAAGGCATATCCTGAACTAGCTAATTGACTCCACCACCAGCCTCCTCCATTCCCTTCACAGAGGAGAGAGGGGTCCTGCAGCCTGGAGGGTCCTACCCCTGGAGGGGTCAAGCAGTCTGTTTCCATAGAAGTTTTCATAGATTTCCCTATAGTAGTCATTGGAAGAAGAGGGGCAAAATGCCCTCACCTTAACTCCAGTGTCTGCAACCATTTGAAGATTTTCTTGGTGTCAGGATGCAGTGCCACAAAAAAGCTGTCCAAGACTGCACACAACTCTCTCTGTGTGCCAGCGTTGTGCAGGGACAGAGAAACCACAGGTAGACAAAAAAAAAAAAAAAAAAAAAATCATACGTTCCTTATTAGAGGTTAGGGTGCTTTTTCCTGCTCAAGATATAGTGAAAAATGTTCCAGCTCCTAGGAGTTTCAGTTTAAATCCATATACTTAGGGTAAGGTTAAACCTTATGTAATACTTTTGTACAGGTATACATTGTGGCCAGGTTCAAATACTGCAAGCTTCAGTTTCTTCCTTAGAAATGAGGTTAGTTTTTACTTTCTAAAGGCTCAGAGCTGTGAGAATGGGGAGGTTTGTCAATCTTGTAAGCAAATAAGTAAATAAAATGCCCTCAAAATTACTCTGAGTAGACTTGGAGGTGTTGGAAGGCTTCAGGTGACTGTTTGTGATGTGGACTCCATCTGACAAAGCCCTCTGCATCAGGGCATGAATTTATGGCATCTGTCCATCACCACATGGAACATCAACTGTCACATATTTTCCAACATATTAATCTCTATCTAGGACATGAAGTTGTTGAGAGTGCTATTTGTTATTTGATATTTTGTGCTCTCAACCTGTTCAAAACGCTGCTTAGTTAAGAAAGATCAAAATGCAGAGTGACATTTCTGTTTAAATAACCATTTTTACAGAGACTCCTGGACTGTTAAAATGCAAGAACACCATGATAGTAACAAGTGTTATAAAATGTTATTTTAAAGCATGACCTGCTTCTTGCTCATCATCTAATATCAGTGTGCTTAAAGGGGGAAGAAGGCAGTATTTGGAACAGTTATCTCCTGGGCAGGCAATAGCATCTGGTGATATTAAAATGTCATCAAATGAAAATATATGCAACAGCGTCCACCTCATTTGAATATGAAATGCGAAGACAATCCAAGGCAGACAACTGCTTGTTTAGAGTGATATCTGAATACAAAGGCTGGATCATCAATAATAGATAAAGTGTTTTTTGCGTGTTGTAAATTAGAGGTAGGATGGGTATTGTAGTTTTGTTTTTAAATTATTAATCACATTAGCAAGGCTGGCTTTTACAAAGCACCAGGCAGAGTAAAAATGTAAAATACGAAGTGAGAAGAATTAATTTTATAATCTGACACTAGAATAAAGCATCCAAGCCCTCTATCAACTACACTGAAAATTAGATAGTAACATTCTGGTAGTTCTGTCAAAGTCAAATACAGAAGCAATTGTTAAGTGTTGATAGGCAGTGGATAGAAGGTGTAATCCACTGGGAAGGTTTTGATCCAAAATGAAACAGTTTTCTACCCCTGCTAGTCAGGCAGAAATCTAATTACTCTCTTTTGATCTCTATGGAGAGGTAAACCAAGGAGTTATAGGTTATGGACAGTTTTATTGATTTTTATCTCAGAAATCAACAAGTGCAGGCTTTACACTTTACACATACTTGCTTAGCTGGTGATAGGATCAAATATTTCAAACTGGCTTTCCCTGCTACCAAGTCAATAAGCCTTTTAGTTGTTTTGTTCAAGTTGCACTGTGGATGTTAATATTACAGAACTTTTTTGCACTTAAATGCTTTGGGGGAAAAGATTGCTAGGTTTACACTTGAGCATTTTAAACAAAAATCTAAGCAATTTTTCCCCATCTGCTTATTTCTCTCTTGCAGGACTGCATTGCTATATTATGGCTGTAATATATAATGGACAAGCAGCTGTATTTTTGACAAGAAAAGAACAACTGCAATTCAGCCTGTAACAGCAGCTAAAACAATTTCTGGAGTGCTCATAAGACATTTCTAATTTCTGGAGTGCAAAGGAGGAGAAGGCTTTCTGTTTCTGGCATTTCCAATGCACCTTTGAGAAATCAGACACAAACTTCACTGCTTGTATTCTAGCATTGAAATATAACTTGGTCCTTTGTCCTCTCTCTATGAGTGCAAATATTTCCACAAATGCTCACCCTATTGACTACAGCTTATGGAAATATTTAATCTTAAAAAACACTAGCCCTTCTTCTCCAAACTAGTTCCTGTAAATCCTAGCAATTTTGCAGGATGACTTCAGGCATGGGCTGAAATGATGGAGAGAATGCCTTGCTTTTCAAAGAGACCCTCTTATGGACCTTTTTGATTGAGTGTAAATGTGTGTGACAGATTTCAGAGGCAGTCTTACCTAAAACCTTGGCATGCAATCATATCTTCAAACCAGCAAATGGGAGTTGTGCTTTCAAGCTAAAAGATGTCAAGATTTCATGCCACCTTTTTAGAGGTATAATTATTTGGGGTCTGTTGTTAATTATACATATTCATGCAATCTAATCAGTCTTCAAGAATGTACATCAAGTCAAGGTCTACTTGTTCATATACACAAAAAAGCCAGTTATTCTCATTTAACTCCAGTGTCAGAGCCACAGGCACAGACACAGAGCCTGGGATGAGTGTAGCTTCATGATTATTTTGATAGCTTCTCTTCTTCATGTCCTGGGAGATAAGGCTGTTTCTCCCAGAGCTGCACTTTTTCCTGAATGACTGACAACCCCTTTAGAGGAGATCAACCCCTTTTTGTGCCCTTTCACTCACTCGGAGGTTATCAGCTAAAACTGCACTCAGCATTCAATCACATCTTTCCCCTGTGGCTGTAACTCCTGTTAACACAATTAACCTTCTGATGGGAACATAAAATGAATCTAGGGAGGGAAAAAGAGCAGAAATACATTCCCATGTTAAGGATTAAATGGCCTTAGTGCTTATAGCAGTGTTTTTTCACCTCTCTCTCTTCCACAACATTGTGTGTAAGGGGCTATTAGCAGGAAGTTGCCTGTCGCAAAATTCTTCCTAGTAATCCCAGCAGCTCTTATTTTATCAGTTTGTTTTTTGTTTTTTTAGGGTTTTTTTTTAGTTTTAGGTTAATTAAAAGCATTATGGAACACAAAACTAGATAGAAAAACTAATACAAATTTGTATTTATTTGTGTTTTGGTTTACTTACCTGCCTTCCTTCCCATCAAAAAAAATCTAAATCTGAAAGATACCATTTGGCAGCCGACACTTCCCTTTTCTTTGACAGCAGGGCATGATGGGGACAAATAATATCTGTCTTCTTTTGGGTGTCTTTTTCTATGGCAGCATTTTTAAATGATAAACAAACCCACTGTAAGCTCATGTTTGTTCTCATTTCCTGGCTGTGTTTCTGTACTGAGCTCTGTATAACTCTGTGTGTCCCTCTGACTGTGCCCTAGTGTGTGCCTACTCCAAGCATGTTTTAGCCACAGCATTTTTGAGGAATCTGAGTATATCCCCCCAACTCTCCTGAAACTGAGATATGAATTTTCATCCAAATGTTCCCTCTTTAACTCCCTCTCTGCTCCATGGGTGGCTCATTGTCCTGAAGAGCCAGGGGTCTGAGACAGAGGCCAGCAATGCCTCCTTGGGCAGCACATACAGGCTGGAACCTGTGACCCTAATGGTGCTGTGCAGGTCTGGTGCTGAAAAAACTCTGGCTCTGGTTCTCACTCTCGTTATCTTGAGCAAGCTAATGCTCTGCCCTACACTGCTCTACAAAAATATTCATGGAGGATTTCTCCTCAATTTTAAGTCCTTGTTTAATGAACTGGTCATCTATTTGAGCTGCTGAGGCAAAGCACTTGGAGGACACCTCCTTGGGCCCATTGACTCCCTGTGGTGAGGCTAGAGGTGGAACAGGGTTGGAAGGCACTCTGTGGTCAGGAGAAGAACTTGTAGATTCTGGGCTTTTTGAATTTCTCTGATCTTGCCTATATTGAAATGTTGTACAGCAGCAGGTACTTGGCCTCTGTATGGTTTTAGTACTCCAAGTGTTTGCAGGTTGTGGTGAAACTTGTAACTGGACAAGGGATGGAAAATCAACATCACTTTTCTAGCATAGACACATCCCCAAGCACACAGGGCTTAACTGAGGCAGCAGTTAAATGAGATGAGGACACTTTGTTTTTCCTATAGAATTACAATAATGCTGATTTTGACTCCATCCCATTTACCAGGTTTGCATAAGCACAATAAGTGGCCAAGTCTAGCTGCTAAGGTGTGCCTGCACTTGGCCTTTGTTGGTTGAATGAGTTTTATGCAATGGCTCTGGTGACAAATCTGGGACTTTCATCATTGCAGTATTAGATCGGATATCAAGTGCCAGATTTGCATTTTCAGCACCATTCTCAGAGGCAGAATTGCTTAAACAGTAACTAAAGCAGGCAAAGAATGACAACAAGCCTTAATCTGTAATTCTTACATATTTTTATACGTTGTGATGCGAGGGATAATATTACATGTGCATTGTAGAAAGAAATGGACGAGGCAAAATAATAATGTTTTTGAGACAGACTTTAATGATGTCCAGTCTGACTTGTACATTGTTACATTTTCAAGTTTATTCCTCAGTTCCTTGTTATAACCCCCAAGTAGGGGGTTAGGGGATGTTCTATATTTGTGTGGACTTTACAGTGTGGCTACTGCAGATTTGCAAAAGTGTCATGAGGCTAAAACTTATGTTGAAAACACCACAGTTAATAATGTAGGAACGTGTCCCTGGCAAAATGAAAGTCTTTGCAGCTGGACACAAGTACAAGCCTTGTACTGCTGAAGAAGAGCCAAGGGAACTCTGTGGATCTGCCAGTTTGCAGATGAAGCTACTATTGGGCTTGCAAAAAGAATGTTAAGGAAACACAGCTGATGGGAAAAGGAAGATGCAGGGATATCAGCTGACAACTAAAGACTGGGCTAATTTTCATTATAGTTTTTTTCTCTATTTCATATCTTTTCTTCTCTTTTCAGTTCAGATGTGTTAGTTGTTCACCTATCCTTGTCCTGAGAATTGATTTTTGTATCCATGGGAGATTGCTGGCATGAAAATAACAGAGAGTAATTAAAGTGAGGAAGGCTGATGTCTGGATTGCTTCTCCCTTTCAAAGGAACTATGAACTTTACCAGAAAACAGTTCTGTTAGAAGTAAACTGCATTGCAGTGGATGCAGTATCCAGTTGACCCAATTGAAACATGGCTTTCTGTACTGCTGTAGCAATGGAGCATTGACTGTGGAGTTCTGTGGTGATCACCCTTAAGGTAAGGACGCAGCACAAGAATTGCACGTAGAAAGACCAATAAAGGGTGAGGCAAGGTTCATAACACTGTGAGCCTGGCTCACACCAGGACGCTGTGGTTTGCCTTTCATGAGAAGCCAGTTAGCCATTGTCCTTCCCCACACAACTGCCCCAGTTCTTATCTTGTTACCCGTTTCTGCTGCTGTATCTTTAGAGGACACAGAACCCTTGTGTGTTTGGGGGATCAGAATGGGGTGGCTCCAACAACACATTGTGTGACAGGGCAAGGGCTGCATACAGGACACAGGGTGCAGAAATGCCTTCTGCTGGGCTGAGCCAGCTGGGAAGCCCATAACCAGCATGGTGATGGGTTGAGGGCAATGTCATCAGCATGAGATTTCCCACTGGGGAGAGATGGAAGTAAACCAAATGGCTGTAAGAATGTGAATGCAGGACATACTAAGCAGCTCTTATCCTCCCAAAAGACATGTGTGCTGGGGTGTTATGTAAATCTTGAAAGGATATAGCCTCCAGCTCATCCCATTGTTGAAAAGGATTAAGCCTCTGTGAGTACTGGGCACTTAGGGATTATGGTTCAGCATGCAGAGAGGGATGCACTCGGACTGACCTATAGTGTTTAAGGGCTTTATGCATTCACTGAACACCTACAGCTGTTACGATTTCTTTTGACTGGTTTCTGGAAATGTCAGGACAGATACTCTTTATTTTTCCATGTCCCATTGAAATGTAGATCATCATGAACTCTCTTTCCCTGGATCTACATACAGATGTGCTAATAAATAGCAGTATTTGACACATGGCATCATGTCTTCTCTGCTAACCTTGGTTACCTTTATGCAGAGCAGCTACTTGCTTCACTGCCTGAGACCCACAGCTATTCCAGGTAGATGTGTCACCAATCCTCTCCCACAACAGCCAAAAAACCTGTATTTTACAGTCTACAGCACTTCAGATTACTTCTTCATGTAAAAGTTCAGTGTTGTGGTCCAGCCCTTGGGAATTAGTGTCTGAGCTGGCTCTGCAGTACAGGGGTGATGTGGTTATCAATCCTTCTGATAGGGCTGGAGCAGTCACTGACTGGTGGGAGGGCTTGTGCATTACTACATAATACATCAAACCTCTGGTGTGGCAGCTTCTTCAGAAGAGGAGATAAATTTTTTAGTGCCCCATGAGCCTCTGTGCAAGGCTCTGTCTTTCCACACACTGGGGATCTGCTCACCAGCATCAGGGGACTCAGCCAAGGGTAGAGAAGGTTAGGCTTGGTTATTCTGAAATATGTGACCTGCTTAACACAACCGTAGGCTTTTGTAAAGGAGTCTTCTCATACAGTCTGGAGAGGGAAAAAAAACGAAGAGCCTAACTGGGAACTTAACTGAAACAATTCTGTAATAGAGATTATTTTCTATTCCTCATCTTCAGGTGGAAGTAGTGGGACAACCTCCTGCACCAGCGACTGTGAGAAAGTTATACATTCATTTTATCTTTTTTTTTATTGAGATGAACTCCTTTTATTACAACTCCAGAGTGCAGGTGAGCCTATACAATCTTGACTGTCCACCGCTGTTTTTACCTTGCATTCAACAGCTCAGAGTCACAATGAACATTAGTGACAAGTGGTGTCTCTCAAGGGTCTGTATTGGGACCAGTGCTATTTAATATCTTCATTAATTACACAGATGAAGGATTCAAGCGAACCCCCAGCAAGTTTGCAGGTGACACC